GCAATATAATACAGGGGGTTTAAAAAATTACGCACCACCTCAACGATACGTGATAAAATTCACAAGTCGAAGTTTGAGAAAAATCATTAAAAATTTCTCTACGTCAATTTAACGTGCACTTACAAAAATAATGATTTAGATACATAGATCAAAAAACGGGAAAATTTAACCACTTTCGTTAGATTCATCCAAAACAATTTTCAAGTTTTTTGTAGTGTTACAAAATGAAGAAACCTACTGATAAAGACAAGATGCCTCCGAAATTATTTTGAATAATGAAAGTTTAATCGATTTCAGATACCCAACACAAAGTAGTGAATTAAATCTGGTGAAATTAAAAAAAATAAATAAATTTTGAATTGCTGTATCTCCAAGAATTTTGTAATTTATTTTTTCTCTACTCCAAAAATGGTCCTGAACAAGATGTTCTAGAGTTAATGTGCCATTTTTGAATAACCAGCATAGAGCATTTGGTAAATTCTAAAGTTATTAAACCAAAAAAAAACTTGAACGTCGATAACTTACAATATAAAATAATATAATATACTGGACGAACGGCAAATTTCAGTATATACGGTAAAACGCTGACCAAAATGTGTCAAATCATTCCCACCAACAATTTGATGACGTCATCTGAAAATTCTCAGTTCATGCCACATAAATTTTATGAAATAACATACTCCTGTACTTGTGATTTGTAAATTGTGACCATCAGCAGCTTCCTGCTCTGAGTTTATGGTTTCTTGGAAAAATGCGGTTGTATCAACGCAAAATCTAGTCCTCGATAAAAAGGCAGCTGTTTTCTCTGATGTTTCGATATGTATAGTTATTGTGAGTGACACGTTATTTGGTGTTACATACAGAATGACTCAAAAGCATTTATTGAATGAGGCATTTTATTTTAATGATTAAATTTTCAAGAAAATTTGGAAAGATAGTGCGGTTATTGTTAGTATTACAGTCCACCTATGCATAACTTCATTTTAACATACAATGACTATCATAAAAGGTGATCGTGCGTGATAGTGCATGTGTGCATGTGTGTTGTGCTCCAAAATCTGTTCCTTCCTCTCAGGTTTGAGGAAACAAATTTACACTGAATGAGACATATGTAAAGGGCGTTTCTCGCATTGAGAACAGTGTAATTGTTTTTCGCATCTGTTTAGTCGTTTTTTCTCTGTGTAGTTAGTTTAATTAATGTGTGCAAGAAAACTAGTAATTTTATCTATTGGGTAGCCTCATTTTTTGCCGGTTCCAATCAAAGGTGAACCTCTCACCTTTGATAGGAGTTAGTAATGCCGGGAACGTGTAAAGCATGTGATGGAGACATCAATCGCCGAAATGAAAAGGTTTTTTCATGTTTCCTCTGTAGTAACAAATCTCATGCAAAATGTTTAAAAATTGAAGATGCCGAATTTAAAATCTTGCAGAAATTAAATAATTTTAAATACATTTGTGATGAGTGTTTAATACTTCAAAATTCTGAGAAAGTGGATTCTTTGAAAGCGTCAATTGATAAATGTTTAACTGCCATTGAAAACCAAAATCAAACAATTAACTCTCACGGTACAATAATTAATGACTTGTTGCAAAAAATGCCTAGCTCCTTTCAAAAGGATCATGTTCCGTCCTATGCCAGTGTTACTAATAAATCAACAGTTATTGTACAGCCTAAGAACACTGAGAAAAAAGTATCGGAAACGAAAGCCGAATTGTTAGGAAAAGTTAATCCTGTGGAAAATAATTTGAACATATCTAACGTAAAGTCGTCGCGTAGTGGTGGAGTAATAATCAGCTGCAATAGTAGTAAGGACACTAAAAAAATTGTTGAAATTGTAGAGAATGAACTACGAGAAGATTATAATATAAAACAATTGTCAAATCTGTGCCCCAGAATAAGAATATCAGGTATTCCCAAAGAAATAACCTCAGAAATGTTCTCTAAATCGCTTGTTCATCAAAACCAATTATTGTTTAATGATGTCAATGAAGATTATAAAGTTGTAAGCTACAGTAGCCAACGCAAAAGTGATAAATATCTTCAAGCCGTAGTTCAAATTGACACAGTGTCATACAACAATATAATGAAAGCTGGAAAACTATTAATAGGCTATAAATATTGTAAAGTTTGGGATGCTATCGATGTTCGCCGTTGTTATAATTGTTGTGGTTTCCACCACCATTCTGATAAATGTGATCAGAACTTTCCCATCTGTCCAAGGTGTTCAGAAAAACATAAAGTACAAGAGTGTAAGTCTGATATTCTTAAGTGTACTAACTGTAGTATGTTGAAGGCAACTAATGCTAATATAAACACAAACCATGCAGCCTGGGACATTAACAAATGCACGGTCTACAAATCTCATGTTGAAAACTTTAAAAAAATTATATTTAATTCACAATAGCAATTAAACCCTAATATCAGCGACATTTCTACTTTTTCCGGATTAGCATCTTCAGTTAATTGCAATAGCTCTCACTCAGTACATGATAGAGACCTAATAATCTATTATCAAAATGTAAGAGGTCTTAACAGTAAATTAAATGATTTGAGTAGTTATCTAAATGTTTTCCATTCTGATATATTTGCATTCACTGAATCGTTTCTGAATGACACAGTTCTAGACTCAGAAATATCAAGTAATTACACAATATATAGAAGTGACAGAAACTTTTCTCGTATTAATTGTACAAGAGGTGGAGGAGTCTTAATAGGAGTTAATCCTTCCTTTACTTCATGTAAGCTCGACATTTCTAATTTAGGTTTCGATTCCGTGCCAATGATCGATATTCTAGTTGTCAAAATTAACTCTTCCTTCCAAAATTTTTACGTAGTGGTTGCATATGTACCTCCTAGTCCAAGAACATGTGTGGAAGACATTGATGTATTTTTTGAATACTTAATAGCTCTTTGCTTTACTCTCGAAGGGGACGTAATCATCCTAGGTGATTTTAATATTCCGGCATACTCAGACTCCTTAATGGATCAAATAGGGAGTGATGGAAGGTTAAAGCCCCTTTTGAATTTCTTAGAGATGAGTGGCTATCGTCAATATAATTTCGTACGGAATTCTAATTTGCGACTATTAGATTTAATTTTGTCTAACATTGAATGCAGAGTATCAAAAGCTACTGATGTTTTACTTGATGAAGATCATCATCATCCCAGTCTTGAGATATTTATAAAACACAAATTATCATCTAAAGAAAAAAAAATATGTAACGGCAACTTTAAATCTTACAATTTTCGACATGCAGACTTTGCCCTCTTATATGACATGTTACTAAACGTTGATTGGTCGTTTCTAAAAGACATTACGGACCCTAATAAGGCAACATTGCAGTTATATTCCCGACTAGATAAAATCTTTGAAGTTTGTGTTCCTATGACAAAGCGTTTCAATAAAAGACAATATCCGCCCTGGTTCACTGTAAATATAAAACAAATGCTAAAGCTAAAATGGAAATTTTGGTTGAAATATAAACGGTTTAGGGATCCTGCGGTATACTCCAAATTCAAGATTTTAAGATCACAAATCAAAATTGAAATAAAAAATGCATATAATGTATATTTAGAAAAAACTGAAAGTAATATACAGTCAGATCCTACACAATTCTGGTCCTTTGTTCACAGGTTGAGATCTCAAAATGTTATACCAGGAGTGATGACTTATGATTCAAAAGAGTTAAATGATCCGTTATCAATTGTCAACTCTTTCGCAAAGTTTTTTCAACAGCAATATATTCAGTCTCAAGCTTCTGCTGTACATACCATACCGTCGCTTCCTAATTTAAACATTTACCATTATAGTGAAGAGGAGGTGTATCAAGCACTGTTAAAACTAAAAAATAAAATGACATCTGGGCCAGACTGTATTCCAGCTTTTATTCTGAGAGACTGTGCTAATATTTTCAAATCTCCGCTTATGCTTATTTTTAACATGTGCCTCAACTCTGGTGTGTACCCCTCACTATGGAAACAGTCCCCTATTTGTCCAATATATAAAAAAGGGGATAAAAAACAAATTGAAAATTATCGTCCCATCGCTCTTTTGTGCAATTTTTCCAAGGTGTTCGAGATCTTGCTACACAAGAGTATTATGCGTCATGTTCAGTCCTACATCTCACCACTGCAACATGGTTTTGTTAAGGGTCGTTCCACTGAGACCAACTTATGTTTGTTTACACAATTTTTATCAGACACAATCGACACCGGCCACCAGGTGGATACGGTGTACACCGATTTTTCGAGAGCATTCGATAGGATTGATCATTTTAAGTTAATTAACAAATTAAATTCTTTTGGTTTATGTGATCGTCTATTAGACTTGATGAAGTCGTATCTTTTTGGTAGAACGCAGTTTGTGATCTGTAAAGGATTTAAATCGGTAGAAATAAATACAACATCAGGCGTTCCTCAAGGATCAGTTCTTGGGCCTCTTTTGTTTATCCTTTTTATTAATGACATAACATCTTCATTAGAAAGTCGTTGTTTACTATATGCGGACGACTTAAAAATATTTCGAGTAATAAGATGCATAGACGACTGTCTCACATTGCAAAATGACCTACACAGGTTATTAGTTTGGTGTTTGGAAAACGGTCTTTTATTGAATATCGGTAAGTGTGGCGTGATGACATTTTCTTTGAAACATATACTCCTCTTGTTTGATTACATGATTGACGATGTAGTATTACAACGATTTGACGTTGTCAAGGATTTAGGAGTGATATTTGACAAGAAATTGTCATTCAACAATCATGTAGAAACAATGATCATGTCAGCGTCGAAATCTCTCGGCTTTGTCTTACGCAATGGTCGTAATTTTCGCAACAGTGAAACATTATCAACATTGTATTTCGCGTTTGTGAGAACTAAATTAGAGTATGCGTGTAATAAGGGTGTGGGGACAAAAAATCTGCACAAATTTCAAACTAGAATAACTGTATTATAAAAGCAGGTATTAATAACGTGATCAACAACATTTATAAAAACAACTTTAAAGAACACATTCTGTACCATATCTACTTGCTTTACGAATTTTTGTTTTAACACGGCGCATTAAATTTGTAAAAGCCGTTATTTTTGTTTGCCGTATTTTCAGCAGTATACGCTTCTTTAATTCTGCATGTGTCGAGGCTTCCCATCCATTTTCGTACACATTCCTCTTTAGGTTTCTCCAAAAACGTTCAATTGGGCGTAGTTGAGGTACGTTGGGAACATTTTTGTCCTTAGGGATAAAAGGAATGTTTAACTCATTATATGCAGCAATAACGTTAGCTGCGTAATGAGCTGTTGCCATGTCTGGCCAAAATACAAAATTGCCATCCGAATGCTTTTCTCTTATAAAGCGGACAAGTCGAGACCTAATGCACTGTTTTTCATAAATATCTGCATTAACAGAATTTCCAGGTGGGCAAATAAACGCAGTAGAATGTCCACGTGAAGAAATGGCCAACCAGACCAACAACTTGGACTGAAATTTTTTATGACCTTTGAATTTCACTTTATCATCTACTTCTTCTCCTTCCTTGCAATAGAAATGTTTATTGTTAGCAGTATCGCTACCATCAAAAGTGAAGTAGGATTCGTCATCGATGATTATTTCAGTTCCATTTGAGGGGGAAAAAGCGGATTCAGAAAGATGCCTTAATTTTCGTTTCTGTTCCAACTTTTGTTTTTCTGAATATTTGGGGGCGGATTTTCGTGTTGCAAGTTTGACATTATTCTCCTTTAATATGTTGCTAACATACTTTTTGTCAATTTTAAATTTCCGTCCAATCTTTCTTAGTGAAACACCAAGTTTACCGTGACTTTGATTGACTAAGACTTCTCTCTTCTTCTGGGACATTTTTCTTGCTGGTCTTCCGCTTCCTACTTGTCGTTCTACCGAATTCCCATTCTCTACTCTTCTGCAAATACTATAAGTTGTCCTTTTTGATATCCCCATTTGGAAGAAGTGATTAAGGGTGAATGACTTTTTTAAATGCATATGCCTTCTATAAAATTCGGCAATCACAGATCGGCGATCATTTTCATTTAAGTGTTCCATTATTACAAAAAATATTGAAACTTTCAAGAGGAACTAGGCATAACAATTTTTAACAACTGTAAAAAAATGTTATAACGTCAACCGTCATTTTTCTCAAAGCTAACTCGATTTTCGGTGAATTAAAATTTGTGCAGATTTTTTGTCCCCACACCCTTATATGGGCCCCAGGATATATGATATATGTTAACATGATCGAAAAAGTTCAGAGAAAATTTTTAAAATTTTTACATTATAAGAAATTTGGTTTCTACCCTCCAAGAGGTTTTCCTGAAGAAGAACTCTTACAAACCTTTTCCATCAATAGTTTACTGAAAAGACGTTTATATTTTTCGTTCATATTCTTATACAAAATTGTCTATGGAAATATCGACTGCCAAGATTTATTGAAATGTATAAATTTGTTAGTTCCAAGGGTAAATGCGCGTAGATATGACACATTTTACATTTTTACAGCTCGCACTAATGTGCGCAAATTTTCTCCAATTTATACCATCTGCGAAAATTACAACAGAAACCAGGATATGTTCGACATCTTTAACACCACTTCAAGAAAAATTAAAAATATATGCTTGTTACAGGCTGAATGATGGTGTTAAATTTAAGTTAGTTTTAATGTTAAATACATTCATCTTACCCCAATAAATGGTTGTACTGTGGGGGTGAATATTAATAATAATAATAATAATAATAATAATAATAATAAAAAATAAAAAAAAATAAATGTAAATTCAAATTAAATAAATTTTCGAAAAAGTTGGATAAGTTTATTGTAATTTGTAATAAATTTTGTAATTTTTATCTAATACTTGATTTTTTAAACACTAAGCCATAGATTACTTCCTCAGCAGCACTTTGATGTGTCGAAGAACTGCGGGTGTAGTCATTGTTCTGTCTTTGTTTTTATAAGAGGATATATCGAATAAATATTTTACCTTAATTATGTTAATTTTATATCAAATATTTCTTCTACGTATCTCGGTGTTCATTTCTGTTAAAAAAAACTTCAAAACCGTATTTTAGTTTTAAACAAATTTAAATACATGTGCAAAAACGCATTTTCTTGCCCTATGTCCCAAACAACTTAGTATTGATTAACTTAAAAATGTTAATTTTTCAAAATTCTGGAAGCACAGTAGCAAAAGAAGCATATTGTAACACATTTGTGTATTCTAAAAATAAGTCTTGGTTGTTTTATAAACACAGCCACATCGACGTACGTGTCACAGTTATGGTCCTCGACTGAGTAAATTTGTCCCAAATAATTTCGGCAATATCTTATTTAGCCTGTTGTAAAATAAATTAGGAAATTTAATTATTAAGAAATTATCTCTATTAATGTAATTTCAAAGAACTATTTCACTTTGTGTGTCTGCGACAGGTAAATGAATAAAACATGAAATAATCAATTTATCGAAACCGACACTAAAGCTTTTTAAAAACGGTATGTAATTAAAGAGACTTCAATAAAACAATATAAGTTTTTCTTTTCTGAAGTTCTTGTTGCCACAAAGCTTTGATGTAAAATTTATAGTAACACAAGATTGAGCTTTCCAGTGGTATAGAAGGGGAACGCGATTATAAAAGGGCTTACTGTGTTTATTCACCTTTAGTTGGTTTTTACTTAACTTAAAATGAGTAACATAATTAAAGAAAGTTTTAACATAGATTTAAACGTGCTAAGTATTTTCGGTTTGTACATAACAGGAAATAATTCTGCATTCTTCAAAGTGCGAGCTTATGCTCTGTATTTTTTTCTGTTAGTGATGGGTACAATTTTAATACTCACTAATCTTATTCTGAAAAACAATATTAGTGGAATGCAGATGAATTTAATGGTAACTTATGTAGTTGAAACTATGTCTATATGGTTTAAAGTCTTGCCATTTATTCGCAACGGGGAAAGAATCAAGAAATGCATCGACTTCTTTGGGCAAAGTGATTTTGCACCCAGAGATACACAAGAACAAGAGATAATCGACGAATGTGTCGCAATTTGTCGTAGAAACTGTACTGCTTATTTTTGTGGTATTATAATCACTGTGATTCTCTGGAACGTGCCTGTATATTTTGGTAAAGAAAAGACTTTTCCTGTCCAGCTTTGGCTACCATATGACCCGATATCGTCGAGCTTAATTTACTATGGTACACTGTTTTATGCAACAGCAGGTAATAATTAATCTTGATGACAATTTTTATAAACTTCATATTTTTTAGTTATTATGTATGATGCATTACTAGGAACGGTGACAGATCCTTTGATTGGTGGTTTAGCATATCACGCAACTGCTCAATTAAAAATTTTGAAGTACAATTTACAAACTCTAGACAAACATATAGAAGATGGTTCAGATACAAATCGGAACGAATTTAAAATCATTAATTATAAAACTGCCTACAAACATCTAAAACATTGTATCAACCACCACAACAACATTTTAAGGTAAAATTCAACAAATACATTAAAATATACCAAAAAGATAAATTTTAAAATCACTACTTTATACAAAAACCTCTCTTTACCACAGTAATTCCATCTTGTAGTTTTGTTGTCGAGTATGAAGAGTGCTTTTCTGGATGTGTATTTTGGCAAATGGCTGGAAGTTTACTCTCTCTTTGTTTTTGTTGTATAGGTTTAACCCTTGTAAGTCGAACTCTTTATTTTCTTAATAAAACTCCTTAATACAGAATATTTTGTAGGCTACTGTTGCAAGTGTAAATGCGTTAACATATCTCTTCTCTGCTTCTATCATTAGTTTTCAAATTCTTTTCTACTGTCATTATGGTACGCTGCTGTATGAAGAGGTATAACAATCATTGCACGACAGCAAATATTGTTTTTTAAAAAATTATTTTTACAGAATAACAGTTTAATAAACGCTATATGTATGGGTCCTTGGTATCAATATGATGTTAAAATCAGAAAAATGTTGCTTATAATAATGGAACGTTCAAAAAGACCAATGATTCTCACTGCTGGAGCAGTGATTAATGTTACGCTGGAAACATTTGTATGGGTAAGATTTTATTAGATATGGATTCATGTTTTAAACAAGTTTTCTTAGGTATTAAAATCAAGCTATTCTTTAGTAGCTGTTCTGAATAATTATGGCTAACAGATATTTTTTATCTTTAATTTAAAAATTAAATTTGTGTGTATATTTAGTTATTTTAAAATATCATATTTGCTTTACAATGAATATTATTTATTCGTTTCAAAATATGTGTGACAACATCTCATAATGTTGTCAAATAAATCTCGCGATTCCAGAATATTAACTAAAATTGATTTATCCATTCCAACCAGAAGATTCTGTTGACTCTACGAATATAATTCCGAATTCTACAAATTAATATCTAAGTTATTTAAAAAAATATATACAACTAAAAATTGCACCATTTACCAAATTTTATTATGACACTAACATTTATATATTATAATAATAGTTTTCCGCACATCAGATTGATTTTTTAACTCGTAAAGAAGGGGAACGCGATTATAAAAGGGCTTACTGGATTTCTACACCTTTAGTTGTTTTTCTGAATTTAACGACTTACAATGAATGATATAATGGAAGAAAGCTTTAAGATAGATTTAAAAGTGATAAATATTTTCGGTTTGTACATTTCAGAAAATAATTCGACATTCTTCAAAGTGCGAGGTTATACTCTGTATTTTTTTCTCTTGATGATGGGTACAATTTTAATACTGGCTAATGTTATTCTGAAAAATAATATCAACGGAATGCAGAATAATTTAATGGTGACTTATGTAGTTGAAACCATGGCTATGTGGTTTAAAGTTTTGCCGTTTATTCGAAATGGAGAAAAAATCAAGAAATGTATCAACTTCTTTGGACAAAGAGATTTTGCACCAAAAGATGCACATGAACAGGAGATAAAAGACGAATGTGTTGCGATTTGTCGTAGAAATTGTACTGCTTATTTTTATGGTATTATGGTCACTGAGATTGTATGGAACGTCCCTGTATATTTTGGTAAAGAGAGAACTTTTCCTGTACAACTTTGGTTACCGTATGACCCGATATCCTCAAGCTTAATTTACTACGTTACTCTGTTTTATGCAGCAGCAGGTAATAAATAATATACACCACAATTTTTTAAAACTTTTATATTTTATAGTTATTTTGTATGATGGAATACTAGGAACAGTGACAGATCTTTTGATTGGTGGTTTAGCATATCACGCTACCGCTCAATTAAAAATCTTGAAGTAGGTACAACTTACAAAATCTAGACAAACACGTAGAAAACGCCATGAATACATATAAGTAAAAACGAATTTAAAATCATAAATTATAAAGCTGCCTATAAACATCTAAAACGTTGTATCAACCACCACAACAACATTTTAAGGTAAAATTCGGCAAACAAATATATACCAGTATACCCAGCAAGTCCTACATCCTTGCTTTTTTAAATTCACTGCACTTTTAAAATTCTTATTCAGTCTCTGACAGTGTTTTTTTTTTGTAGCTTTGTCGCCGAATATGAAGAGTGCTTTTCGGGATGTGTATTTTGGCAAATGGCTGGAAGTTTACTCCCTCTTTGTTTTTGTTTGACAGAATATTTTTTAAGCTACTGTTGCAAGTGTAAACGCATTGACATACTTGTCCTCTGCTTCTATCATCTGTTTTAAAATACTGTTCTACTGTCATTACGGCACGCTGCTGTATGAAGAGATATAGAAACATTTTTTTAGAGATTTATATTTACAGGTTTATATTTACAGAATAACAGTTTAATAAACGCTATTTGTATGGGTCCTTGGTATCGATATGATGCTAAAATTAGAAAACTTTTGCTTATAATAATGGAGCGTTCAAAAAGACCAATGATTCTGACTGCTGGAGCAGTAGTTAATGTTACACTGGAAACGTTCGTATCGGTAAGATTTTATTGAAGTGTGAGTTCACGTGTTAAATACGTTTTCTTAGGTTTTAAAATCAAGCTATTCTTTAGTAGCTGTTATGAAAAATTACGACTAGTAAAATAAATTTTGATAATTAACTTTGTGTATAATTAACTAGATATTAAAAAAACGTAACATTTGTATAATTAAAATTTAAAAATATATTTCAAGCACTTCCATTTTGTCTGTAAATACATGTGTTATATTTTTTTGTAAAACTTTTTTCATGTTTTCTTGTCTGACAATTTTCTGTTTCCATTTTTCTGTCAATCAGTGGACTTTAATATCCATGTAACCGCCAAGATATTTTTTATGAACACGGTAAATTACGGACCGATAAAATATCTATTCATATGTTCTAAGAAATTAGTGGCATCTTTAAAAAAAATAATCACCAAATTTTGTAATAGACAAACTCACTTGAAACATACGCATAGCATGCTTCTTCACCTGTACTTTAATAGTCCCCATATATCTTTATTTTAAGTTAAAGGGGTTATAAAAAAAATAAAATTCACCAAATCAAATTTTATAGTTTTTCAAAATATCTAGATATCTTTTACTGTATTTGCCTGTCTGAATAACCTTACACCAATTTTTTTTTCATTTATAAAAATTGAAAAAAAAAATGAAAAAAAAAACAAATTTTATTATTCACATTTATAAATATTCATATACCTACATATATTACCCTCACGACTTGGAAACAAAATCCGATAGAACTCATTTAAGGCTACAGTTTAAAATTATTAATAAATACGCACAGCTGTATTGTTTAAAACACAACATCTCATATTTTTATAGTATCGGTTTCTTGTTACAAAAGAGGAAAAATTTTGCAAAAATTCTTTATTTACCTGACATTAACAATTGTATGAGAGAGTGTTTTTACGATTCATCGGGATGATTAAATATGTTCGTGGTCAGTTTTCCTACCCTATAAGATTTTCAAAATTATTATAATAAAAATTATCAAATAGTGTTTTAGAAATTATTTTAATAAACCACAATAGATCTAGTATCAAAACACTTACTTAGAGATAAATTTCAGATGAGGTTCTTAATCTACATAAGATATTCCTTTCAAAAAAAAATACAACTTTGGTAAGTACACCTTGTATATTGTATGTTTGAAAATAATTGTAATTATATACATTCTGTGAAAGAATTTTTCAAAAAACATCCACGAATAATGTGCAATTTTCAGTCACAAACATTAATAATTTTAAGACAATTTTGGAATCATTGTTTTGTAAAATTCAATTCTTCTCCTTCATTTTTCAATTGTCTTCTAAAGTTTTTTGGCTCCAGATATTTATATAATTTGATTCAGAATCTCTTCTTAGGTTTGAAGTTTGCTATATACTCAACCTAAAAACCCCATTTTTACGTTTCTGTTAAAATACAACATTATCTCGTGTTCCTATATGGAAGAGTAAGAGAAAAACACACAAAACTTGAAGGAGCATTTTTTTCGTTTTAAAACACGCTGATTTTACTTGTATTATATTCCGTATTTGGCTGCTTGTGCTAAATGTTTAACAAATTGTCCTAAAATTATTTAAAATAAAATCAAACATTAAACGATTAATCATTACCATCTTAAAAAAAAATATCTACTTCTCTGTACCTCAGCGACAATAATATTCTTTGTCTCCAAAGTATATGAATAATACATGAAAAAAATCAATTTATTGTAACCAACATAAGATCTTTTCAAAAGGCTTGTAATTAACTACATTTTATAAAACTTCTTCCAATCTTTGATGTAAAATTAATAATATTCTACCCGCAGAACAATACAAACGAAGGGGAACGCGGATATAAAACAATTTATTCGATTCGTGTAAGTTCAGTTGGTTTTTATCTTTAATCCAATAATGACCGCCACAATACAGCAAAGTTTTCAAATATCTTTAAACGTGTTACACATATTCGGTCTATACATTTCAGAACAAAATTCAACATTCTTAAAAGTGCGCGGTTATACTCTATATATTTTTTTATTAATCTTGGGTACCTTTCTAATAGTGATTAATCTTATTGTGGAAAAAAATATCACTGGGATGCAGATGAATTTAATGGTAACATTCGCAGCAGAAACGGCATCTATGTGGTTTAAAGTTTATCCGTTTCTTCGAAATGCAGAAAGAATACAGAAATGTATAAATTATTTTGGTCAAAGAGAATTTGCACCAAAGGATCAAGAAGAGAAGAAGATAATAGATGAATGTATCGGAATTTGTCGGCGAAATTGTGTTGCTTACTTTTGTGGTGCTGTAGTTACTGAACTTATATGGAACCTGCCCTTATTTTTTACTAAAGAGAAGACTTTTCAACTATATCTTTGGTTACCTTATGACCCGCTCTCCTCGGACTTAATTTACTATGTTACAGCATTTTATACAACCGCAAGTAATAAACATGATAATAATATTTATATCAAAGTGTATTTTGTGCTTTACAGTCGTACTTTACGATGGAGTATTAGGCACTGTGACAGATCCTTTGATTGGTGGATTAGCATATCACGCTACTGCTCAACTAAAAATTTTAAAGTACAATTTACAACATCTAGACAAACATGGTGCTATAAATGCAAATAACCAAGAATTTACAATTATAAATTATGAAAATATCTATCAACACCTAAACCGTTGTATTAATCACCACAACAATATTTTAAGGTAAATACCATCAAAAGATTATGCAAAATATATTTAAAAAAATATTTTCTAGCTTTGTGACCGAATATGAAGAGTGCTTTTCAGGCTGTGTGTTTTGGCAAGTGGCAGGCAGTTTATTCTCACTGTGTTTTTGTTGTATAGGTTTTACTCTTGTAAGTTTATTTCAGTTTTGACTAAAAATCATTTTGAATGTAAAATTTTATAGGTTACTATTGCAAGTGCAGACACACTAACATACTTTCTTTGTGCATTGATGATTTCTTTCCAAGTTCTATTTTATTGTCATTATGGTACACTGCTGTATGAAGAAGTATGCAAATATTATTACACAAGAATTTTTATGGAAATTTAGTGTTTGCAGAACAATAGTTTAATGAACGCTATATGCAGCGGTCCCTGGTATCGATATGACGTTAAAACAAGAAAAATATTACTCATAATAATGGAACGTTCCAAAAGGCCGATGATATTTACAGCAGGAGCTGTAATTGACGTTACACTGGAAACATTCGTATCAGTAAGTCTTTAACTGAGTCTGTAATGCTATGTTATATATAATTTTCTTAGGTTTTAAAGACAAGCTATTCATTGGTCGCCGTTTTTAATAATTATGGCTAGGTAGATGAATTTTTGCCAGTATTTAAAAATTATATTCACTTCCAAAGCATTTCTATAAATAAATAAACACACAGATTTGTACTACTAAATTGTAAAATTAGACAAACAATCTAGTAATATTCCTCCCGTTTGTCAAAAAAAAATTACCTAAATGTTAGTTCTTGTTTAAGATTATAGCATAACACATAAAATACTGACCAAAATGTTCTCCCCTATAAAAAATTAGCGATCACATATCAAATTATTGTTAAGAAAATTTTAGATTAAATAAGTAATAGTCCTTCATTTTGACAATCCACACCTGTAATTACTAAAAAAAATAATAATAAATTATTAGTACTACATTGCTTTTACAATATACTGTTACGAAATAAACCCACACGCCACCCCGGTACGACGCCTATGGGCGTCTGTCATCGTTTCTCTGTCATAGTGAAATTTTCTACCTGTGATAGGTATCGGCACCTGTTTAGATTAGTGCCTAATAGATTCATCCGCATTCGTGCTAGCATGTTGACCAGTTCACTTAAGAGTATGTTTCCGCATGCTGCGATTTAAAAAAAAATAAATTTAAAAACCACCCCCTTCTGAAGTGTGCATGTTACGCTACTGACTCACAATCCGTTATCAGATTCTGATGACTCACCATTCTGAACTTAAAGTAATCCATCTCTAAGAACCCTTTAACCTTCAGCACTAGGTAATAGCAATCTGACGCTCAAGTGTTTATTTATGTTTATACATCGAAAGAATGTCACGTAGAAATTAGTTTGATTTGAATGAGATTCTTCTCAAAATAGAGGACTAAAATTATTAATTAAACCACAATCGAACAAAATGTTCAGAATATTATAATTCTTATTTTATCATTATTATGTAGACGTGCGTATTCTTCATATTTTCTAAAAAATGGGGTGACTCGTTCTTAATTTGACCAATAAAACATTTGTGGCCACGTCATCAACATGGATAATATTAGTCACAGCACAAAAGAAAAGTAGTCACAACGTATTACCAGTGCAAGAAAAAACAAGGACACGTATATCAACTTGGATTGGTGCAGTGTAATACAGAAAATAATAGTATTGAATTCCCAAAATTTTCTGAGGAAATGGAGTGAGCCGATTTTCATTTAATCAATAAAATAAATTGGCCCATTCATTAATTTTTTTGACGCACGTCTTTACACAAAACTTAAAAATATGAATACAATGATAAATCACAAGTAAAAACTCATCATATTTTGCACATTTTGGGTAGAATTTATTCGGAAAAATTTTGAGATGACGTCATCAATTTTTTGGAGGGAATAAACAGATGTGTTTTGATTAACAATTTACCAAGCTTACAATAACTTTAACACGTCTGCAAAAGTATTGATTTATTCAATAAATTAAGTTGACTGATTCAATTTTTTGAGGTACCTACAAATCTAAAATATATTAATGCAATGTTAAATTGCAAGTATAGAGTCATCATATTTTGCAATTTTAGATAGGATTTATTCGGTAAAATTTTGGGATGACGTCATCAATTCTTGGGGGTTGATAAACAAGTACATTTTGATTAAAAAGTTACCATGCTTACAATAACTTCAAAACGTCTACATAAATTAAAAGTATTCTGTTTTGCAATTCTTGATTTAATCAATAAAATAAATTGGCTCAGTCATACTTTGCACATTTAATATAGGAATAATTCAGCGAAATTTTCAGGTGACGTCATCAACTTTTTAGGGGGGAATGAGCAAATACATTTTGATCAAAAACTT